GCTCACAGCATTTAGCTTAGCAGACCTGACAAGATTATGGCCAGAAAGGTTATATTTTTACTAATATAAGAGTATAGACTTGAGCTTCAAAGGAAGAATGAAGCCCAACTATTACAGCTAGAGGACTTTAATAAATATTAAATGACCTATGAAGCTGGTTCATACCTTAGCTTCAGGACTTGGAAGTAATAAGAAATTCTTGAAATGGTGCTAAGGTATTATTGGATGTCTTGCTTTTTATAAGCTACCCTTACCTTTTACCAATATAGTTGTGAGAGCCAGGGAAGATGAGATAGGATGGGTGATTTGTGTTGCTGACTGAATTAAAAGTGAGGAAAGCCCTAAATGTAAAATGAATTCATGTCTTCAGCAGGATAAATACAGAAATATGCTTTTGATATACTAGGTATTTAATCCCTCCTCTTCACCTACTCCCTTTGCAAGTTAAGTTATGAACTTGATGTTGAATTTAAAGCATGCCAAGAGATGAGAATCTCCATTATTGTTAAATTCTCATGTTAATGAACACAGGAAATCAGTGGTATGGTCCTAGTTGGAATGTCAAAACATGCCCCAGTGGGAGATTGCAGAATAATTTACAACTCACAGGACATCTCTAAGTGAGGTGATTATGTGAGAATAAAACTAAGTGAATGTGCTTTGCAGAGAGAGAGAGAGAGAGAGAGAGAGAGAGAGAGAGAGAGAGAGAGGGAGGGAGGGAGGGAGGGACAGAGAGCACTTCAGTATCACAAACTCTGACATGGCCCTCTTAATCTTTGCCTCCTTGTCACTAGAGCAGCCTCATTTCTTGCTTCTAAGAAACTGGATATTCTGCTTAGGTTGGGGCTTTTGCCTTTGCCTCCCAGATTTCTTTCCCCAGTTGACTTTGAGGAAACATGCCACCATGTTGGTACGGGATAAGGAAGCCTTCAACAAACAGGAGCTCAAACCCTCAGCTCAGCATACCTCAGAGACTGAACCCTGCCACCAACTTAGTCCCAGGTTCTTCTCCAAGTAACACTGAAGATGAGACTCCAGCCACAGCTGAGCTTTTGATGGTAGTCTTAGAGAGACCCTAAAGGAAAATGTCTGGTCCATTGTAACTTGGATTATAAATTCAGGGGGCTTCAGCTGCACAGCTGGTGGTATTTGCTGCATAGCAATGGAAGGTTAATATGTTAGGTGCATTAATTTGCTTGAGCTTCCATGCTGAAGTTCCAGGGACTGAATTTACTTCCTCCTAGTTCTGCTAGACGCTGGAAGTCTTGCACTTGAAATTTGAGAAGGTATATTGTTCCTGAGGCCTTTCTTCTTACTTATATAAGCCCATCATCTCCCTGTGTTTTCACAGGGTCTTTCTTTCCCATACAGAGAACAGCTATATTGGATTAGATACAGCTCACACTACTGACCTCATATTTAGCATAATGACCTATTTAAGCACCTCATCTCCACAGATAATTGCATCTGGAGTCTGGTAGCCTAGGACTTCAATATAGGACTTTTCAGGGAAAAAACTTAGTCCATAACAATAATCTGTCATTATTTTTATCTTTATAGCTAAAACTCTGTAGAATTTATTGCTTATAAAGTTTCTTTTTACTTTTTTGCCTTTTAAAATTTTGATGTAGTTATATATTATATAATTTGAGTGCTTATACATGTATCTCACATAGTTTAGCATATACGCATATATTTTTCTTTTTTTTTACTTTCTTTTTTTTTTTTTTGGTCGGTCATGGGGCTTGAGCTCTGGGCCTGAGTGCTGTCCCTCAGCTCTTCAACTCAAGGCAAGCTCTCTACCATTTGAGCCACGTGCTACTTACGGTTTTCTGGTGGTTTGTTGGGGATAAGAATCTCATGGACTTTCCTGCCTGGGCTGGCTTTGAACTGCAATTCTCAGATCTCAGCCTCCTGAGTAGTTAGGATTACAGGCATGAGCACTGGCACTCACTTAGCATATATTTTTACATAGTCTTATCCCTGTAAAATTACTGCATTTATAAGCATATGTCTTTTCTATACTTTACATACAATAATTTACAATCTGTAAGAAAATGCTATTAAATGCAATTTTAAAATTTGGCTCAAATTTTTGTGTTTACTTGTACATTCCTATATGAGTATTCTAAAAGTAGCTTATTTAAAAAAATAAGCTTGTTTGAGATATAGTGGCTTGAATTATAAATATTTGATGTATGTGTAGTGTTATGCATTAGTAAGGTTAGGATACCTGTTTGGCTTCTTGATAATATGGATTTATTTAATACATAGCTGGAAACTATCCATACTGTGATGCTAATTCATTAAAGAAGTATTATTCTCTAACTACTAATAACACTATATCCGTATCTATCTATATCTACCTAATAGATATAGATAGGTAGGTAGATAGATAGATAGATAGATAGAAAATAGTTTCCTAAATTGCCACAAACAAAGAAATAACCTGCTAAATGTATCAGTTCTTTATATTATATCCTCCAAATAGTATGTCCTCCAAATTCACAAGGTCAAAGGTATTTTCAAAATAAAGCTAAAACACGATTTGCTTTTTGACAAAGATTGTGTTGATGCTTATGCATGTGTTGGCATGAGTTACGTTATAAATACAAAAGAAATACAGAAGAAGAGGAGGAGGAGGAGGAGGAAGAAAGAAGAAGAAGAAGAAGTAAGAAGAAGAAGATGATGATGATTGGAGTAAATTTATGATACCATTTTCATCAGTTGAGGCAGTAGTATTGAACTCCTGTGAGCTGTAGTGGTGCATGTCTGTAATCACTTATTGCTCAGCTGGCTAAGGGAACCCAAGATGGATGGATTGAGAGTCTGAGACCAGCCTGACCTCTACAATGAGACTATTTTTTAAAAACACACAAGGGAAGGAGATGCAACTCAGCTATAGAATACTTAGAATGGCTTTCACAAGGTCCCTGGGTTCTTGTCCATCTCCAGTGCTATAACAAAGAAAAAAAAAACCCTATTTCATGGAGAAATCAACAAGTTCATGAATTGGTGATCAAAGTTAGCACCACTTTTGAGAAGCTGGAGAAAGTGTCCCTCTATACATGGTAGAGTTCTAGTAAAGCCTGGGTAGCCTAAACCATCAGCAATTATTTGACAAAACCACAATGAGAAAGATTTTTTTTACCGAAGAAATTTTTCAGAGATATAAGGGTTGGAAGAGACAGGGTGTTAGGGAGAGGAAATGTTCCAAATTAAAGGAAGTGAAAGAGAAATAAGAAGTAAATGTCATATGTAGCCTAACCTTGATGCTGCAGTACAGGGAGAAAATGCTACCAAGGGTCTTTCCCCATTAAAGCAAAAAAAAAAATAGAACATGATTGGTAAAGTGCTGTAATAATGCTAAATTTACTGAAGTTCATAGGTATAATAGTAAGCAAATATCCAAAACCTTTGAAAATACACACTGAATTTTTAAGGGTAGGATAAAGATCTTGATATTTGAAAGCTACCTTCAGATGAGACTGAAAAACTATACACAAATATACACGTATCCATCTGTATGCATACACACACACAATTAGGTAAATATGTATACTTGCAGAGAGAAACAGAGCAAGTAAAAATATTCATAATAGGTTTATCTAGCTACATAATATCCAGATGCTACTGTATTATTCGTATTTTATTTTTTCAGTAAGTTTCACTTATTTTCAAACAAGAAGTTAGAATTAAATTTACTTACTTTAACAATTATGTAACATATTCATTGTTGTATGCATACATGTATTAACGTTTTTATGTTTATTTTTTCTTATTGAATACGAATAGAGTAAAACCTAGTCAATCAACTTTACATCAGCAGGTTTTTGGTGTCCTTCATCATTTTTAAGAATTATAGGAGTTCTGAGATCACAGAAATTTCAGACATTGGTATACACATAGGCATCCCCTCATTCTCTTCAGCCTACTTTATGGCATGAATTAATTAAAGCTGATTTTCTAGCTGCCACTTCCTAGTGTTGTAATAGAGGTAGCTGTTTGTACCATCTCTGTCCCCTAGTTCTCTTATTTGTGAAATAAACGTGCTACCCATGTCAAAGGGCTACTGTACAGTTTAAGCCATATATTCAATAAAAAGAGTCTCAGCTTATGGCCAGTACATTGTGGTGTTCTTATAGACAACATGCATTTCTATATCCTTGTCTCTCTGCCACTTACTTTATTCCTGGAAAGTGACTTGGGTTATCATCAAATACCTACCTACTACTATGACTACTACTACCACCACCACTACCACCACCACCACTACTACTGCTACTACTACTACTACTACAAGGAAACTAAAGATGGTTCTTAATATGTGGATTTATAATGGTTTCTACCTCATAAATGGTCAGGGAAACAGGCAGGTGGAGATAAGCAAGCCACGGAGGTACTTGGAAGTCCTTGTTATGAGAAAGAATATTATGCATACAGGAAGTTAGATTAACAATTATTTGCAGAATGGTTGACAGAACATTTGGCTGGACCGAAAACAATTCTCCCTCAGGAGTAAAGTATGATTACCTTATTTGACTCTACTATCATTGGCATTCCAGTTTCCACATATGCACACTGTGCTTCAAATGAACATGCCTGTTTGAGTTATTGAAGTTGAAATGAACAAATGTCACAAATGTCTGTAATCTTAGCACTGGCACTGCATTAGAAAACCCTATCTCCACTAAAGCAAAACAAAGTTATACATCATTACTTACAGTCAAGTTGTGGAGTAGTACTGTTTTGTGCAATCTCAAACAGCCCAGTTATAATTCTAAATCCAGCTGTAATCTGTATCTCATCCAATCAAGCATCAAACCAATAAAAAAACTTCATCTGAAGTAATTATTAGATTGTTGACTTATAGTGTTTAACTAAATTCAAATGCAAATGATAAATAAGTGCCAAAGTTTTGTGTCTTCTTAGTATGCCATTTATTATGCTTTATTTTTTCTTTATTGTGATTTTGTTTTCTTTATTACTTTTTAAAACAGATCATCAGAAACTGGAAAGGGAAGCCAGAATCTGCCGTCTCTTGAAGCACCCCAATATTGGTAGGAAAATGTTTACAATGTATTCTCCATGTTTTGTTTAACAAAGTGTTATACCAAAATGAACATGTTGATTTCACTAGCTATAATATATACCAATTCTTTACAACTTTGTCTTTACAAGCAAATATTAACTACTATTAATAGATTCCTACCATTTGGTCTTGGTTATATTAATTCAGTGTAGGTTTTACATACTTGTGTTTGTGCCATTTTTGAAACAAGAATGAAAAATACAAATCATCCCCACCAATTAGACTAATCTTGCTTTATGGAAATTAATATCCTATATTAACTGAATCAATAGTGTATGTTTCCTGTTGTGCTGAGGAAACTTGATTACACATCACCATGGAAATACTGAGTGTAATTTAAAGATGAAACAAAGTAAAATTAAGTAATCTTTGGTTATATTACATTAGCTTTATTTTTAACTACATATTTTGGTGTCTGCTACATGAACTAATTCAATTTTCCTTTGAAGACTAATGTGAAATAAAAATGGTAATCCTACTTTAGAGAAGCATAAAGGTAAAAATAAAATAAGTATATAACATATACTGAAAAAGATATGTAGATTTTTTTAAAAAAAATCTGAAAGCAACAAATTTATTTGAAAAGATTGTTAGTTCAGTGTTAGAGCACCGGCCTGGTGCACTATTTAAGGCCCTGGATTCAATCCTCAGTATCACAAGAAAACTCTTTCCAAAAGTATGGATTATATTTGTAATTATAAACAAAATTGTTATAATATAAATAGATAAAATATATACTTAACTACAGTAAAAGATAAGAAAATGTGTGTAAGTGGCTTATAGAATTCTAAGAAAAATAAGTCTAAGGTCACATTTAAAAATTAGCTACACATGACATTTCTAGCCCTAAATTTTTTATTGTCTCTAGGAAGAGACCTAACTTGCAGCAACAAGACTGAAAAGGTTTTGGTGAATTTGTTCAAGGAGAATTTTGAAGTTGATTTGGTTCTGACCAAATCCTCCTCTCAGATGAAACAGACATCAAGTTCAAAAGTTCTAATACTAGGGGCTGGGAAGGTGGCTCAGTGGTAGTGTTTGCCTTGCATGCGTGAGGCCCTGGGTTTGATTCCTTAGCACCACATAAGAGCAAAAGGTGGAAGTCGTGCTGTGGCTCAACTGGTAGAGTGCTAGCCTTGAGCTGAAGAGCTGAGGGACAGCGCTCAGGCCCAGAGTTCAGGCCCTATGACAGGGGAAAAAAAAAGTTCTAATACTAAAGGAATCTCAGTAGGAAACCATTGTGTTTGAGAAGGATGGTTGCTTACATGGACCTTATTGTTAGGTATACATAGCACTGTATGCAATTCCATATGTGGGCATGAGGAAACTTACAAGCACACAAACTGTCCCTTTCTATAAAAGAAGTTTTCTCATGCCTGTGCGTGAGCATAGCATTCAGGGTCCATAGAATTTTTCTTTTCCTAAAACTGGAAGAGTCCTTGGGGATTATCTCAACACCATTTAGATAATGGAGACTGAGACTGGAGATCTCTAGAATAATGATTTATGCCCATGTTCACACACAGATCTCCACAGAGACAGTATCTGCTCTTTTCTTTCACCTTAGAGATAGGAAGTCATACTGCAACAGTGGTCTTTGCAAAATAGCATCCCTGAAATGTTCTCAGGGTCAACAATCACTGTTTGTTTACTTTTTTTTTGTCGGTTATGGGACTTGAACTCTGGGCTTGAGTGCTGTCCCTCAGCTCTTCAGCTCAAGTCAAGCGCTCTACCACTTGAGCCACAATGCCACTTCCGGTTTTCTAATGGTCTGTTCGAGATAAGAGACTCAATGACTTTCCTGCCCAGGGGGAGGGAGGGGGCTTTGAACCATGATCCTCAGATCTCAGCCTCCTGAGTAGCTAGGATGACAGGCGTGAGCCACCAGCACCCCGCTATTTTACTTTTAACAGATGACTTTTCCAACTCATGAATTTTGTCTTAATGATCTTTTTGGTGTGGGGCTTGAACTCTGGGCCTGGGCACTGTCCCTCAGCTCTTCAACTCAAGGCTAGCGCTCTACCACTTAAGCCACAGTGCCACTTCCAGTTTCCTGAGTGGTTTATTGGAGATAAGAGTCTCAGGGACCTTTCCTGCCTTGGTTGGCTTTGAACCTTGATCCTTAGATCTCAGCCTTCTGAGTAGCTAGGATTACAGGTGTGAGCCACCAGCATCCGCCTCTTAAAGATCTATTTTTTGAACTTTGCTTCTGATTAATTGAAGCAGTGCCTCTTCATCTAGTGCTCTTGGTGCACAGCTCTTTCTGCCACACCTGAATCTGTGGCATTTCCCAATTGCGGTAAAACACAGTGGCAGGAACATTATAGCTGAGCAGAAGGCAGGTCGAAAGAATCAATGAATGTTGTACAATTTTGAGCGTTTACAATCACCTTCTCCTAAGACAGAAGTTTACTGGATTGGACAGTGTTCATCCTGCAGACTTACAACTTTGTGGAGTGCCTTTTAATTCGCTTAAATTTTTTTCAAGATTATTTAAAACGTATATGTTTAAGTTTGTAAATATAATGGAAATGCTGTGTATCTTTTGAACTGGAAAAAATCCACTTGGAAATTTAAAGAAAATCTATAGTAATGATGCTGCTCTCTTTGCTTGTTTTCTATTTCAGCACATACATGGAGGCGAATAAGTGTTCATAGTATTTTAACTGCTTAGCCATTGAATGATAAATTTGTCAGTGGAAATGGGGAGGTTTATTTGTGAAATTCTATGGAAGTCATTCATGTTTCTATTTCCAATATTTCCAGTGTGCCCAGGAATTACTTGTCAGAGGAGTAGATCACTCAATATAGCAATTGCAACAATATTTCACTTCTGAACTCTTTGCATGATACTTACAAAAGGAAACAGGAACAGAGTCAATGCAGAGTAAATACTAACTTGTCTGCAGATTAAGCAAATGAATGATTTTATGAATGACAGCTATTTTTTCCAAGTAATAAAAAAAACTCAACAATACTCTAAAAGAAAAAAAAATGCTTGAGGTTTTTCTCCATGACCTCTCCTTTTGTTGTTGAATGTGTCTAACATTCACAACAAGAATTATGCAAGAATAAGTCATTTTATTGCTCTATGACTTTCTCTAGTGCCTCTCCAAAAGGCAAAAGGTAATTGAACACTCTTCAGTGTAAAAAGCAAAGTACTCTTGTCCTATGGTCACCTTTTGTTTGATTAAATCTCACCTCTTTATCTTGTTCATTTGGTGGAAAGACCAAATTTTACCTTCTAGAATATGTTGCTGCCTGCAGAACTGATTATTCACTTTTAACAAATGAGAGGGAATAAAAGGCACAGAGACTCCTTTGTCCCTCCAAAGAAATATTTTCATACATCTGCATTACTCTCCCACTCAGTTACTTACTCCTATTCTTCCCCTCATTCCCAGTCCCCTCCCTTTCTTCCTGTTCATAGAGTATAGTGCCAGTGTTGTATACTTCCATAGTGCTTGCTTCTCTAAATCTGCCCTTCAAAATTAAATTGTATATCCGTGTCACTTACTAATAACGTGTTTATGGTATGTGCAAGGGAAAAAGAGTTGAGACCATGGTTTTCTCTGCAGAAAACCAGAGAGGTAATCTCTTAAGATAGTGGTTTTTCAACTGGGAGAATTTTACCCTCTTCAGTTTCTCCTCCTTCTGGAGACATTTGGAAATGGGAACACTGTTTGTTGTTGTTGTTGTTTATTGTGCTGGTAGTAGGGATTGAACCCAGGGCTTCATGTTTTTTTGTTTGTTTTCCACTTAAGATTAGTGTTTTGCCACTTGAGCCACACCTCCACTTCTGGTTTTTCCAGGTTTCAAGATACCTCAGAAATTGGTAATGTGCTATCAATACAATTCATGGACTTACTGCCTCACCGAATCACCTATGTCCTTCTTCCAATGATGAGGGAGTCAGGGTAGTTCTTAATTTGACTGTTCTACTCTTTGAAACAAAAGCCATCTTTTCAGATACAGTTACCAAGATGCTCAGTAAATAAGGAAGGTTATACTCTTTCTTTGGCTATTCACTTTGTATATATCATCATAAACCAGTAACTATAAATAAAAGCAAAATTTTTAAATAAAGAAGAAAGGTTACTATTCTTGCTGTCATTTCTAAGGAGTGGCTGGTCTTTAATAACTCCTAGCAAGGTACTCTGGAGGAGAGATGGCAAACATTTTCTCTAAAGCACTCATAGTAAATACTTTCGGATCTTTCTGGCTATAATGTCTTGTCCTAACTATTTGATTTCACTATCTCATGAAAGCAAGCCTATGCAGAAGGCATAGATGGTGGTGTTCTAGTCGTACTTTGCTTGTGGATTCTGAATTCTGAATTTCCTGTGATTTTCCCATGTCATAAATAGTCTTTGAGTGCAACCATTTCTAAAACTGTCGCAAGTGTACAGAAAACACATGGCTGAGGATTTGTTTTTTGGATCATTGTCTGCTACCCTGCTTTTAAGTCTAGGATACTTTTTCTTTGTGGCTTAGGCCTTGGATGTCATTTGAATGCTGTCACATGGTTTCCTGGATCTGGCAACTAGCTTCAGTTGTGTCTCTTGGTTATGTTGCATATTCTGAAGATGAGCAAAGTGTTTTTGTTTTGTTCTTCAGAGTTCTTTTTGTTCTGGAAGATAGTACCATTTCAAAGCTGGTTTCTAGTTTAGCTCCTCTCTGTGTTCTAGGAAAATGCGGCATTATAAAAAAGTGTCCTAACCGGTTGCTTAGTTTGGTTTCAGCTGCTCTGTGCCCCAGTTACCCTGGACTAGGTGCTCTTGGCTGAGGTCCTAGAACCTTTCTGTCCATCTCTTTGTATCTCATTACCCAACAATCGCACTAAGTAACCCATGGATCATAGACTTGGTTTAAATGTGAGTTGACAACCACTGAAGATTCAAGAAAGGTGTTCTTTGGGGAACAAATTATCTGTTTTAGATTACCTTTGACATTATATGTCAATATGGTTGT